ACTGTGTCCTGGCTTCTTGTTTTGTTTTGTTTTGATACTCCCAAAGAGGCTGCTCGTGAGCTAGTTTGATTATTGGCACCTTTGAAGCTCTAATGTCCTGTCACCAGGTGGTTAGATCTGTTACTAGGTATGTGAGCCCAGGAGTCCGCCCACTCCTCCTGTGTGGATTCAGCTCGGGTGTCCAGGTAGCCAGCCACCAAGTGTGTGGTGCAGGCTCTCACCTACAGTCTTAGACAGGCATGGGTGATTGGTGTAGGCACAGGCATCTGGCTGCAGCCGGGGGACACACTCTGAGCAAGTCAGGGGGCTGATAGCTGCCCCCGAGTGTCCAGGAGGAAAGCGTATCCCCATTCCCTAGAGCACTTAGGTGGGTAGGTTTTCCAGCTGGACTATGAGCACCCAGTGTTGTTACCTGTGAGTTCTGAGGGGCACCTCTTATTCTTGGGCCCCTATTGCAGGTGGCTAGGTGACGTGGGTGGAGCCACCAGTCCTCAGGCCCCTGATGTGGGTAGGTGAAGACCCTGCTGAATGGGTGGAGTGGTGTCAGATGTCACAAACCTACCACTTCACAGCTGAAACAGTTGAAGTTAGACTTCAGGTGTATACCCTGTTGTATTATGATACTGAGGGCCTATGCAATTGAAATGGGCCCACACAAGTCTATGTAGGGGGAAAGACACTCAAAGTCTGTGGATCCCTTATGCCTGTGCCTAGGCAAAGGAGCTGTGCCTACGCTGAGTTCCTGGCTTAGGGGAGCTGACTTTTTCCTCCTGTTTGTTAATTTGTTCCCTCTCCAAGGCCAGGAGAATGGTTCAGGCCGTGTGACGGGTCCTACTTCTGGCCCAGGGGACTCAGCAGTCCCTGAAGCCGTCCTGAACCCCGTGCAGAGCAGGGAGTGAGGAGGTAAATGGGAGAGAGGGTTTTTCCCTAAGGGGGTGTTTTTTATCCGCGCTGTAGGCCATACCCAAATACGTATGTTTTGCAGATCGAGGGCTGCTTCTCACTGGTTCTGGGTGGCCGAGTAGACTGTGCCACTGGGTCTCTCCCAGTGTGGAAAATGCCTCCCAAGTGCTGCTGCTTGCCTGCCTCACCACTCACCCCCAGGCTGATCCAGGTGGAAGGGCTCCGGCTTCTGCCAGGTCAGGTGTGGAAACTCCTTGCTGCTTCTGAACCATCTCTCCCTCCCCCTGCCACTCAGTCTGATTCCTCAACTTTACCTTTGATGTTCAGGGATCCTAGATTGTCGTATATAATCGATTCACTTGTTTTTTTGGGTCTTTGTTGTAAGAGGGACCACCAGAAGCATCTGACTACTCTGCCATCTTGGCCCCACCTCCTTGACATCTTTGCTTTTTAACCCTTCGGAAAGGTCTTTTGCAGTATATTTGTCCAATGCAATACATGAGAGATGTAGGTTATTTTAACTAGTTAGAATTTTTTAAAGAATATTTTGTATGTACTTTTGTTAATGTGGCAAGAAGGACAATTGAGGGAAAATTGGACGATTGCGGAAAGACAACACGAGACTAAGTAAATAAAGCAAGTGCAGATCTATAAAATTAAACATAATGAACCAGCCTATTTGCCTATGTCCCCCAGCTGCCACCTTGGCAGAATAAATACCTGTGTGCCTAGGAGATGGATTTCCTACTGAGAATGACTTAGAGACACTGTGGGGAGAAAACCAGTGGCTTCTGTCATGGATTGAATTTTGTCCCCCCAAAATGTCTGTCAACTTGGCTAGGCCATGATTCCTAGTATTGTGTCATTGTCCACCATTTTCTCATCTGATGTTATTTTCCTATCTGTTGTAATTCCTATCTCTACGATGTTCATGAGATGGGATTAGCGGCAGTTACGTTCATGAGGCAGGACTCAGTCTACAAGATTAGGTTGTGTTTTAAGCCAATGTCTTTTGAAATATGAAAGAGAGAAGCAAGCAGAGAGACGGGGGACCTTATACCACCAAGAAACAAGAGCCTGGAGAATAGTGCGTCCTTTGGACCCAGGGTCCCTATGCTGACAAGCTCCTAGACTAGGGGAAGATTGATGACAAGGACCTTCCCCCAGAGCCGAAGAGAGAGATAGCCTTCTCCTGGAGCTGACACCCTGAATTCGCCCTTCTAGCCTCCTAGACTGTGAGAGAATAACTTTCTCTTTGTTGAAGCCATCCACTTGCGGTATTTCTGTTATAGCAGCACTAGATAACTAAGATAGCTTCTATACTGAGTACATTGTTAGAGAGGGAGGTTTTAACAGCCACACAAGTAAGGCAGAAACTTGGCAGAGTAAGTAAGGCACATCCTTGGCCAAACTCCCATTCTCACAGAGGCCGAATGCCAGGTGCTGACTTTTCAGCATAGGAGCAGGATGGGTAATTTTACCCTGCCTCTTGTTGTTGGTAGTTGCTGTAGAGTCAAACTCATGGTGACCCCATGTGTGCAGAGTAGAACTGCTCCATAGAGTTTTAAAGGCTGTAATCTTTCAGAAGCAGATTGCCAGGCCTTTCTTCTAAGATGCCTGTGGGTAGTTTCGAACCACCAACCTTTCAGAGCCCAGCGCTTAACTGGTTGCCCCACGCAGGGACTCCTCCCTGCCCCTAGCCCTTCCTTTTCCCTTTTCCTATCACAACTTACATCCTGTTACCCTAATATCCAGCAGGGTGCTTCTCAGATGGAACTGAAATGTGTCAAATCAGCATGCACCTTCATGTTTCCTGACTGTTAGCCATTCCTTAATGCAGAAGCCTTCATGGCTAAGCCTCCCTTACTCCTCTCACTGCTCACGTCAGCATAGAAACATCTCCCCAGGATGTGGTGTCAGCATTTGAAGAATGTCCATTTGCAGTGGTTTAACCCTTTGGGGGTAGGTAGGTTAACGCACTCAGCTGCTAATCAAAATCTTGGAGGTTCAAGTCCACTCAGAGACACCTCAGAAGAAAGGCCTGGCATTCTACTTCTGAAAATTAGCCATTGAAAACCCTATGGAGCACAATTCTACTCCAGCACACATGGAGTCAACATGAGTTGGAGTTGACTTGATGGCAGCTGTTTTTTTAACCTTTTAGGGAGTCATGAACCCCTTGAAGATCTATTAAAAACTTTGAACTTCTCCCCAGAAAAATAAGCATCTGTTTCAAAATTTGCCAGTACTTGTAGATGGTCAGGGACCTCCAGAATCCCATCTGGGGGGCTCACAGAGCTAGTATGAAGAACCCGTTTTCTAAAATAGCTTTCAAGTTTTGCTTTTTAAAAAACATTTTTTTTATTGAGGTATATCTTAGTTATCTAGTGCTGCTGTAACAGAAATACCACAAGTGATGGCTTTAACAAATGAAAATTTATTTTCTCACAGTTTAGGAGGCTAGAAGTCTGAATTCAGGATGCCAGCTCTAGCGGGGAGGGCTTTCTCTCTGTCAGCTCTGGAGATCTCTTCTGAGCTTCTTCTCCTGGGCATTATTCATCTAGCGTGGCATCTCTTTTCCCCCATCTCAGCTTGCTAGCTTGTGTTTAATCTCTTTTATATCTCAAAAGAGAATGATTTAAGATATGCCCTACACTAATCCTGCCTCATGAACATAACAAAGACAATCCATTCCCAAATGGGATTATAACCACAGGCATACTGAACCTGTACCAGCTGCTGTCGAGTCGATTTCGACTGGTGGCATGGTGGTTAAGCATTCGGCTGCTAACCAAAAGGTAAGAAGTTCGAATCCACCAGCCACTCCTAGGAAACCCTATGGAGCAGTTCTGCTCTGTCCTGTAGGTTCACTATGAGTTAGAATCGACTTGACGGCAATGAGTTTTTTGTTTTTACTAGATCAGCACCCCACTCTCAGTACCAAATTCTGTATTAGTCATCTAGTCCTGCTATAACAGAAATACCACAAGTGGATGGGTTTAACAAACAGAAATTTATTTTCTCACAGTTCAGGAGGCTGGAAGTCCAAATTCAGGGTGCCACCTCTAGGGGAAGGCTTTCTCTTCCTGTCAGCTCTGGGGGAAGGTCCTTGACTCTTCGGCTTCTGTTTCCTGGTTCTTTGGAGGTTTCCGTGTGGCTTGGCATCAATTTTCCCCCATCTCTGCTTGCTAGCTTTTGTTTAATCCTAAGAGATTGACTCATGATACACCCTACGCTAATCCTGTCCCATTAACATAACAGAGACAACCCATTCCCAACTGTGATTATAACCACAGGCATAGAGGGTGAGATTTACAACACATATTTTGGGGGGACACAGTTGAATCCATAACAAGGTAAAACTCACATAACCTGAAATTAACCATTTTAAAGTGTACAATTCTGTGGCATTATCTTCATAATGATGTGCAACCATCATCCTTATCAAGATCCAAAATGGTTTCTTTACCCCCAAAGAAGACCCCATACCCATTAAGTATTGCTCCCTGTTCCCCTCTCTCTCCAGCCCCTGGCAATCACTAATCTGCTTTCGATCTGAATTTTTCATATAAATGGAATCATCCAATATGTGACATTTTGTGTATGTCTTCTTTGACTCAGCATATTTTTGTCGAGGTTCATCCCCATTGGCTCATGCATCAGTTCCTCATTCTTGCTTATGGCTGAATAATATTCCATTCTGTGGGTACACCACATTTTGTTTATCCATTCTTCTGTTGATGGACATTTGGGTGGGTCCACCTTTTGGCTGTTAGGAATAATGCTACTATCAACATCCATATACAAGTATTTTTTGAATACCTGTTTTAATTCTTCGGGGTATACACTCAGTAATAGAATTGCTGGGTCAGATGATAACTCTGTGTTTAACTTCTTAAGGTACTGCCAGTGAAGTTTTGCTTTTGAATTCAGATATAACTTGACTCTTGCACAAGTCAAACCTCAGCACTACAGTAATTAGTGACATTTCTTTACCAGTTAAATGCTACTGATTGTTTAAATTTCTAGTTGGAATAAATTACTGGATAAAGAAAAACACTGTATAATCCTGCTGACGCTGAGGTTTTGTGTTTCAGGTCAGACTACAGCCACATGTCCTCCGCCAGCAGTAAGTATCTCTTAAATATCCTTCAGCATTGTCTTAAACAGTTCCCCGAGGGGTCAGTGCCTCTGCTGCCGTCTACGTGATATATGCTTTAATAGTAAGTAAGAATCACCAAAGCTGTCCTTGCCAAAAAATGGGAGAAGAATGTTCTCATTCTGCAAGTAGAGGCTTTTCTTCGAGAATTTGATTGTACCATGATTTCAGTACTAGCTATGCCAGTACTTTCCCTATGGACATTCAGCCTGAAGGATCTAGCCAGGCTTTATCAGCACATATACTTCTCGAAACACCTTCTCCGAAGAGTCTGAAATCATTCATTCATTCATCAAACATTTATCAAATACCTGCTCCCTACAGCTGCTCTTGGAAACCTTGGTGGTGTAGTGGTTAAGAGTTTGGCTGCTCTCCAAACGGTCGGCAGTTTGAATCCACCAGGTGCTCCTTGGAAACCCTATGGGACAGCTCTACTCTGTCCTACAGTGTTGCTATGAGTCGAAATCGACTCAATGGCAACAGGTTTTTTACAGATATTCTAGAGAGCAGTGGTAGTTCAGTGGTAAAATTCTGACCTTCGATGCGGAGACCTGTGTTCAATTCCCGGCCAATGTACAACCATCACCCATCTGTCAGTGGAGGCTTGTGTGTTGCTATGATGCTGAACAGATTTCAGCAGAGCTTCCAGACTAAGACAGACTAGGAAGAAAGGCCCGGCAATCTAGTTCCAAAAAATCAGCCAGTAAAAACCCTATGGATCACAACAGTTCGATCCTGTTGTGCATGGGGTCACCATGAATCAGGGGCTGACTTGTCAGCAGCTAACAACAACAGCAGCAGGTACTCTGGAGTCTCTGGGTGGTGCAGATGGTTAATGGGCTCAGCTGCTAACTGAAAGGTTAGCACATCAAGTCCACCCAGAGGCATCTTGGAAGAACGGCCTAGCAATCTAGTTCTCAACAATCAGCCATTGAAAACCCTGTGGAGCACAGTTCTACTGTGACAGACGTGGGGTTGCCATAAGTCAGAATTGACTGGATGGCAACTTGTTATTGTGGGCAGGCACTCTGCTAGCAGGTCACTTGAAGCACATTCACTGGATCCGTGGCATGGCCCCAACTCGTCTGTTGGCACATTTCCTCCTTTGTATTTCTGCATCTGCAGACAAGTATCATTCCCTTCCCAGTATGGGGGGAACTGCCATCTGTGACAAAATCCTGCAAAGTATGTCAGTAGCAATACCAATGTAGGTTATAATTACGGAGTTTAGCTATCATTTCTTCATTCAGTGTAGCCAAAAAGAATATAGACATTTTTAACAATCTTTCTTTCTTTATTCATAATTCCTAGCTTATAGGTGATTATTGTATGTGGTAAAAATGACTACAAATATGTTTTTAAGACACTAAGCATAAAAGGGTGCTTTATTTAATACTAAATTACAAGTAAATCTGTTTGCAGGAAATTGTCTCATGTCTAGAAATAATTTACAGTCATTAAGAGCACTACATACGTGACCAAATCCAGTCAGATTGATTGAATACTTATTTTAAAATAAAAAATAATTCTTACAATAAAAGCCCTGATTTTTTGAATCGGTAAATACTGCATTGTTTTGCCTACCTCACTATCCTGCTAAACTCTCAATTCTGAATAGTTCCCAAGTGGAGAGACACTTAATTGGATTATTCTGTTTATTGACGTTCAGGATTAGTTTTCTTTTGCAGTAAGAGACTGTGCAGAAAGCTGTAGATCTGGAATTGTAATTTAGTGTCAAATTATATTTTGTTATTAGTATAACTGCAACGAGCAATTTCTGATCATCTCAGCCAACTGGAGACGGAATGTTGCCCCTTAGTTATTAAGAACCATTAGTAATAATGAGAATCATGCTCCAGTGTTTTGCACTCATTCCCCGAAGCTTTCTCATCCCTAAAATCAGAGAACACTCTTTTGAACTCTCTCTCTATGCTGCCGTCCTTATTCCTCTCAGTTTTGCCCAGAGGCTACATTTTTTTTAAGAATGATTTTTATAAAATACTTGCCTGAAGCCTTTACTCAATTTGTAGCTCTCAAATCAATCCTCTGGGTCACAGCAAAGCACCGCTCTCGTCAGTGAGGCCCTTAATTTGGTTTGGGATGTTCTCCTCTCCATTACTTAATTGTGGTTTCTAAGCTGGGATTTCTCTTAGTGCACCTGGGATCAACACCGTGTTATTGCTCTTCCTTTCACTTTAACTACTTGGGGGTTCTTGCCTTACATTACACCTCAATGGCAGGGCCTCGTCTTGAATGAGTCTGTCTATGTGTTTCACTTGGCTTAAACAAGTAGGGGTTTGTTTTCCTCCAATATTAAAAAAATCCAGAGGAGGCAGTACAGGTCCAATGTGGAGGCTCCTTTAATCTTTCTGGTTTACCATTCTCAGCTTTTAGTTTCCATTCCCTGGGTTGCCTCAGAGTTACAGTATGGCTGCCTCTGCTACAGCCAGCTCATCCTTCTTCTAGACAGGAGGAAAGGAAAGGAAAGGGAAGGGCAAATGGCACCTGCCGCTGAGTCATCCCCCTTTTTAAGGAGTTTTACCAGAGACGCTACCTGGGAATTTCTCTTATCCCTGTTGGCTAGATCTTGGTCACATGTTTATCCCTATTTGCAAGGGAGTCTGGGAAATGTAATATATTTTTGGAAGATTTGTTGCTGCCAGTACAGTCAGGGTTCTGTTCATAAGGAAGCAGAGGAGAGTGGATACTGGTGGGCACCTGGCTGTCTGCCCCAGGTGTTGCCTGGCCTGCCTTTCCTCTCAGCCAGGAGCATAAATCCATCCATGCCCATACTCAGGGAGGCCTTGGATAGTCGATGAGAGATAACAGTGGACCCTTTCTGGAAAAAAAGAAAAAGTCTGGAGTCTTAAATCTGTCCTTTAAAACATAGACTTGACAGAGCTGCAGTAAGAAAAAGCATTTTCCAAGTAGATTTTAAAAATAACTTTTTGCCATAAACGAGACGATCTTGCTCAGGGTGCTGAGTAGAGAGAAACTTAGTAAGCTGACTATTTATGCTGAATGATTCAGTCGTAGGGTCACCCACCCTGACAGTCACTCAGTGCTGGCACCTCTGTGTGACCAGAGGCCCAGAGGGCTTGACTGCAGCCATTTTTCCACAGTCCCCATTTGTTGGTCCTGGGAGCCACCCTGCATCTCACTGTCAGCTTCTCTCAACTGGCTGGCCTGTTTCTGAGTAATTCCTGGTTCCTGATTGCAATTCTAACCGCTCAGTATTGAGAAGCGGACGTTTCTATGTCTTAGAGTGGTTCTTACTCAACAGTCACATCATCATCTACCCATTTGTTCTGAGCTCACAGGATCGTAAATACTTTCTTGGGGTGAGCTAGCGGCAGAGCTGCCTTTGTCCGTAGTTGATTCCGTCATCACTAATTGTCATGAGGGCTTCCTCCAGAGAGCACCAGCCACTCTACTTGGTCGTCGTCTTTCCCTCAGAATGCAGGGGGCTACTTCCCACGCACTTCCTCCTGCCGCCTGCCCCTGATGGGGGAAACAGATGGGCCATCACCTACAGAAGGGTGCAAAAGCAAAGGCATGGGCATCAGGTGTCCTAGGTTCTAGTCCTGGTTCCGCCATGAACTAGCCATGTACTCCTGGGCAAGTCACTTACCCTCTGTGGGCCTGTTTCCTCCTGTGTGGAACAAGGTGATTGGGCTGGATGGCTTCTGAAGGCCCTTCCAGAAGGTCTGGGATGGTGAGGTTTTGACTGCCTTACAAACTGCTCTAAGAAGAGACTCAGGGAAGAAGGAGGACTGGAAAGGAGGGGGTAACTGGAGAGTCTGTCCCTTTTCTATTTGCTTTCTCTTTGACCCCAATTAAGAATCCAGATGGCAGGCATCCTCTCTGGTGGTCTGTGGTGTTAATCCTGAAGCTTGGACTGTTCAGAGTCAATCCAAGCATCTGGGTGCTGTGAGCTTCCTTTGAGTCTGTTGCTGTAGAGATGGCGTGGTGAGAGGCAGCAGCTTCTTTCTCCCCCCTGCCTCCAGGACACGGACAAGGGGTGGTGTGGGGAGGGCACACAGGTCATTGCGCAGCCTGCTTTTTCCTCAGCCTCACAGATCACAGAATCACACATCCAGTAACGGTGTCATTTACCCTCTGTCCAACTGTGAGGTGTGGCTAAGAGGCTTCTTTAAAAGATGATTTTGTTTTGTTTGGATGGATTTTTTCAGGTTTTGAAGGTTCAGTTCCATTTGCCTTTTCTAGATTGGCAGAGTGGATGGGCTTTTTCTTTCTGTTTTCTGAAAACCTAAACTCACTGTTGGTGCTCAGAAGATCTCAAAAAATCATGCTTCTTAAGGAAGATAATTGAACTTATGCTCTCAGAATTTTAGACTGCTTTTCTAGAACACCAGTTAGAATATCATCAAGCCACTGTATACAGTTTGCATTCTTGAAGGATTTAAATAAAAGGGAAAATCTTATAAACAGAGTAAAGAAAAAATAGTAATTATACCAGGAAAAAAATGAACTGTGCCACACAATGCAAATGAAATTCCCATCATATAGCATTGACTATTTTCATTCAAATAAAAATTATAATCATACTTGAAGAATTGCTGTTTGAAGATGCTGGCAGCTCCAAATGATATTTTTAGGACAATATAACCCTCCTTGAGAGTCTCTAGTCCCAGAGTGAGACCAGTGTGAAGTAGTCAACGAGTTCACTAATTTTCTCTATTTGAGGCTGTTCCCCAGGAGTCTTCTCTATTTGCCCTTCTAATTCCTACCCTAAAACTGTTCCTTCTCAAAGGTCTGATGTACTCATTAACTCTTAACCCAGCACCTTACAACTGCCAGAGATCTGCCCCTTTGTATTTTTCAAAGCACAAATGGTAAAGGGCCAGTCCAGGTGATACGGAGGGCGTCTCAGCCCCCTGGAGGTCCCCCGAGGAATTCTGTCTGTGGAAATTAGGGAGAAAGGGCCATGAACTGTGTGTACTCTGCTT